TTGTGAGATATATTTTCTGGCATAGAAATGAAACGCAAAGAACAAAACACAAGCAAACTCGTTTACGTGGTTCGATCCAACTGAATCTACGTCCACGGGAGGGAATCAATCAAATAGTTCACTAAGGCAAATAAAATGGAGAATACATAGCTTATACATAGAGATGAGCTCTCATCTTCCTTCTATGCCTCCCTCTCAAGCGACACCTTGATACAAAGCCTCAAGGTGCTCTCCTCCTCTCTAGCTCTCTAGCTCTCTAGCTATTCTCTTCTTCTTTGTGGTAGCTTAAGATTTATTCCCTTGATCTCCTAAGCCTCACACCCTCTCTATTTATAGAAGTGCTCTCCTAAGCCTCACACTCCCTCTATTTATAGAATCAAGAGAGTGGTAGGTGGGAGGTAGGTGAGCGGTATCACATTACAAAAGTGTCATTTTAACTTAGTTCAATAATTGGGGGTCAAAATAACAGGGTGCTATCATCAAAATACTCCAAATCTTAATGCATATTATCTCATGCTTAAATTCTAATAAAATATGAAAATTTCAATAACTTTGTGAAATTTAGAAGTATTCAAATAAAATCTACCACCCCAAGCTTAAGACAACAATTCATTCATTCTAATCCAATGAAGATAATAAATTTAAAATTTGCATAAACCCAGAAAAAAATAATACCATATCAATTGCATCATTATGATCACTCTCGAATATCTGATTCCAATAAAGACATAATATGTGCCCTCCAACCCTATGAAGTTATTGCCCAAAAAGAATCATTATGGTTGAGCTTCATGACTAGGTAGTCTGTCATAAAATAACATTATTAAACTACGACCATGATCAGTGCTCATAAACTTTTCAAAGACCTGAATTTTCGGAGTGACAAATTGTGCACCTAATATGATACAATTTTTTTTTTTACTAGAACTGACTTACAATTATTTTTTTAGACAAAAATATATCTCAGATCTACAAGATTTCTTTGGAAAACGTAACATATGGTTGCTGACAAGTATCATTTGGTGAGATTGGGTTAACAATCTCCTCTAAAAAAGTAAACTAATGTTCATGATAACTTTTTACGATAAAACCACATAATCTTAATTGAATCTGTAATCATCACCCTCCCAATCGCTCTAGCTGACAGTAATAAATTTTCTTAATCTAAAAAAATAATTTTTGCTACAATATGGAAAGCAGATAGTACCAAAAAATTAATTTACATCAAAATTTTATTTTTATTATCGAAATAAAAAATTAATCATATGAGCTTGTGCTTATAAAAAGCTAGAACCGGGCCCTAAAGTCTTCATAAAATGAGCGTGAAATATCCTAATAGTATCTTGTCAAAAATCTAATCTACCCCAGAATTACAAACGTTTTCAGAAGAACAAGAACACGGATTGGCGAAGCCCGCTATTTTGTAAACAATGAAGTTAAGGTGTTATAGAAAGATAAAGAGCATACATTCATTAAAGTCCGCTAATCAAGCCATTTCAATAAATAAAACCCCAAATACTTCCGATCAAAAAAGAGCCAGTTTACAGGAGATATAATTAATATGCAGAATCAGAAATGCCGGCAACAATGTTTAGATAATAACCTGAACTTTCAGCATTCGTTCGCACGATTTCACCAATTAGTATTCTAGGAGTACGTCTTCTCCTTGGCTGGCTCCAGACCACGAAACAAAAGGACTCTATTTAATAATTCACACCAAAGAAAAAAAGGACAGTACATGCAAAGAACAGATGATCAAATTTTTAATATCAAATGGATTAAGCAAATAACCCAATGTGTCAGATCCTTATAACAGGAATTAAAATTCAAAGGACTAGAAATTGATTACATACAGCACGCCATTCTGGCGGAGTTTGAAATGCTGCTTCATTATCTATAGCATCCGCATCAGTGGCTGAAGGAACGGGCCCAGAGCCACTGCTAGAGGGAGGATGCTCATGCTGCAGATCAGAAGGAGTATCGCTTACCTCAGGCTGCCCGTTTTCATCAGGAAGGGCATTAAGATCAAAGTTCCGAACCATCTTAGTCCGTTTACTCAGCCTTATCTTCCTCTAGTCTGCAATAGCCTCACTATGTTCTCAAACTAAACCCAGCAGCAACAAACCCCCAATCTCTCCAAGAAGAAAACACCTAAAGTAAGAAAACACAAGATCGATCAAGAGTGCAATGATGGAACAATCAACGAAATTTTCCATTAAAAAAACACTACTAATGAAAATATCATCACCATTCCTTATCCACATGGAGCAAAAAACAATAAAACAATCAAAGAACAAACGATCCAAAAACAGCACTACGATCGCCAAAACCCTTGCAAATAGCCCAAATAACGCAAACCCAAGAAGTGATCACATCAGAAGACAAATAATGCGACACAAATTGCAGCGCTAGAAATGCTTCGAAGCGCAGAGGGACGCACCGGCTATCCGGCGATTTGTTGCGTGCGGAGGTTAGGGGTTTGAGTTCGGAGACCCGTTTGCTACAAGGAGTTCTTGTTCGGTGAAATCTTTCTCCGGCGAGCTCACACGCGGCGAAGGATAATGGCGCTGGCGGAATCCGTTTTCCGGCCTGAAGCGAAGAATTCTGCGCAGAGAGAGAGAGAGAGAGGAAGAAGAGAGGAATATCCTCTGTACCGTTTAAATATATACTCGACAATTAAACCATTTCAATCTTTGCGCTCCATTGCTGCCATCTTCTTCTGAAAATATACCTTCCGATTCGGCAGTGGCCCTGAAACCTGAAGGCCGTTTTAATATATATATTTAGAGAGAAAGAGAGGGAGACTATTTTTAGAAAGATTTACATGCAGATCACTGTATTTCTATGTATTTACATAGCAAATATATAAAGTTAAAAATTTTACATATATATATATATATATGCTACTTTACTATTTTAAAAATTAAAATCATGATATTTTTTATATAATATAAAATATTTAGATGATAGAAATGTAAAAAGTTAAAGGTTAGGCGTTAGATACATAAAAAATACGTAGAAATTGAGCGATAGATATGTAAATGGCTGATTGTTTTTAATGACTTTAATATTTTGCTAATAAGCTCGTAGAGCTTGCGAGACGGGCAGTTAGAACAATCTGTCCAAATATAGACTAGGGAGTCCAATAAGGTGGCTCGGTTGAACTCGACGAGAATGTTATCAACCAAATGAACAACATTTATGTAAGAGGGTTATCAAGATGAGTCCTTTAAAAAAGTATTATAAGATGTACATGCATATCTCATTTCTCATGTATTTGTATATCTAAAGCTTAAATTTTAATTTTTACATATATTTCATGCATAAAAATGGGCGTATATATATGTGTGTGTGTTTATGGTCGTGCACACACGAACATGTGGGATTTTGATATTTTCGGGCAACGAAGTTGGATTCACCCAAAAATAAAGAGGCAACTAATAGACCGCCAACAAATTTCCATCATCCGAGACGAATCTCGAGACATGACACGGATCTCAATTTAATCTTTTGGACAAGAAATGTTCAAGTTTTGATTTGAATTAATCTAAAGTTCTAATTTCAACAAACTTACCGTCAAACTGACCAGCTCAACAACTATACCAAAATTGATCTAATTTGAATCAAAACAAGTTAAAACCCAGATATTAAACTTTTCTTGGAAGCTTTCCGAGCATATTTGAAAAGTTAAACGGATGTCGAATATGAACTGATGTCGCAGAGTCACAAAGTAACCTGTGAAGCAGCGCAATATCCCGAATAACGGGCTGACCCCAAAAGATCCCAAAGATGGTGTAACAATGCACCCAAAGATGGTGCAACAGAACATCTCAAAGATAGGGTGATGTCGCACCTCGCATACGCTTGTGCAACTCCCGACTCCCGCCCCCACAACCTACGGACATCATTACAACTCACCACTACGACCTACGTGACCAAGTACGGCCTACATGGTCCACAGCTCGTGCAACTCCCAACTTCTGCCCTCACTGCCTAAGAACGACATTACAACTCGCCAGTACACTCTACGTGACCAACTACAGATCACGTGGTCCGTAACTTATGCAACTCTCGACTCAGATTCTCGCGGCCTACGGACGACATTGCTACTCATCATTACAATATACGTGGTTCACAGCTCATGCAACTCTTGATTCCGTCTCTCACGGCCTACAGATGTCATTACTACTCACCACTACGACCTATATGTCAAAAAACGGTCTACGTAGTCCGCAGCTCAAATAGCTCCTAACTCTGGCCTCTGTAGCCCATGAACCTCATCGCGGGTCATCAGTATGGCCTATACAGCCTACGTGGTTTGTAGCTTCTAACTCCTTACTACGGCCTCTATGGCAAACCGTTGCTCTTGAAGTAACCATTTGCAGTCCACCTGGTCAACTACTGACATGGTTATCATTCGACTTTATGACAAACTGGTGTTAAAATCACCATCTACAACGCTACGATGAATTACTTCCTCTGAGACAATCGACTATAGCCCTTGCAATCTGATATTACCAAGAACTACAACCATAACACAAATATACAACTCAATAATTGTTGGGTATTTTGGAGCTCGTTCCACTATCTCAATTTAATAGTTTTGCATCCTTGGAATGTATTTAATGTATTTAAATACATGTATTTCTTTTGCTGATTCTGCTCTCCTGCCTTCCTCTTTTGGATTCGCGAAATAAGGCAAGTAATATTAATTCCTTGTTATTTGTGGTTGGCCCAAAATCCCGCTCTATTGATTCCTCCATATTTCGAGAATCATGGCTTGCCTTAATGGGCTGTTATTAGATGATTAAAATTCGCATGCTTCAGACTTCCCTTTGATGCGATTTTTTGTTCTTTCGTCGTGCAGCATACAGAAATCAAAAGGAAATTAATTAATTCCTTAATTAGAGAGAAGGAATTAAGCTTATATATTCAGGTGTTTGAATTCCATGGAATATATGAATTACAAGCCTTGAGCTTCCTAGTTTTTTCCTTCTTCCCACGTTGCTCTCAGGTAGAGGGAGAAGCTCACGGGGATAGAGAGGAGATAGAGATTAAGAGAGAGAGAGAGAGAGAGAGAGAGAGATTATTCTTTCTTGTAAACATCGAGGTGATCGTCGGTGTAATTCCTCAAGCAAATAAAATCCTTTGCAGCTGCGTGGACGCAGACAATTTGCCTAATTACGTAAATCTTGTGTAGCTCTTTTTTGGTGTAATTTTTCTCGATTTATTTTTCACTTTATTGTCGTCGTTTTTCACAACAAATAATTTTATATTCTTTAGTTCAGATGAAGAGTGGACTTGTATACTCATCATTTATAGCAGATTATTTCAACTAGGTTAAGCCTCATGATTTTTTTCTCTTTCAGGTTTTCCACATAAAAAGTCGAGGTGTCTCCTCGTGCTTACTTCTCTTTAATTATCTGAGTGTGTGTGGATTTTCATGCAATACTAAGATGATAAATAATCATTATTCGTCTGTCGTTAATCTTCTTGTACGCACTAGTGTTAAATATGAAAAATACATAAGAAATGTGAAGCATACATGTGTGAAGGAACAAAGTGGATTAAGTATTGAAATTTGTTTGCATTTAATGTGTTTTTCTATATGCCAACACATGTATACAAACAAATCTGGATCCAAAAATGGTCATTCTAAGAAATGTATTGATTAAATTATTCTTTATGGATGAAAACTTAATCCATGCAAAACATGTTTTACATTTTCTCATGATTCTAAGAAATGTCATAAATTCTCTTCTTATAAACATAGGCTAGTTGTCCCTGCATATAAGGGTCAGAATCATAGTAGGTGCATGAACACAAAAGGCCCCATAAATGTTAGTAGTTCTCTTATTTCTATTTCACATTCACTACTTGTTTCTAATTATGTGTCTATTTCTCATAACATTCATTCTAATGTTCAACCTAGGTGTAATGTTGTTCAAGTGTCTGATAATGTTTCATTATTACATACTTATGATCTTAATGGTTATGTTGATTCTTCTAGCAATAATGAACCAGGTAATGCTCTTATTTATGGTGTGGAAGTAGGTGAAATTGTTAAAATTATTCAGATTTACCATTTGTTTCTGGAATGGACAGAGAAAATTGTAATGTTGTTGTTGGCCTTTTACATAATAATGCTTTAAGGGATGTTTATGTTCTTTAGATTAATAAGCTTATTGTTTTGTTAATATGCCTATGGTGAATAATATTGTCTCTAATTCGGAACACTTCCTCTAAGCAAGGAAATAATTCTTAGTGCTCTTTTCTATGAGCCTTTTTTTTTCCTTTTCTTTCTTATGTTTCTCCCTTATATTATTATTTGGAATGTTCGTTGGATAATAATATTGACCGGATTGCAGATTGCAAAAATATTTTAAAGATATAAGGTTGATTTTTTATGTCTTTTAAAACTAAGCTTTCCTCTTCTCAAACTAGTATGGTTTTCTTAAAACTATTCTAAGCTATTTCCTAATGAATGTAGTGTTCACAATTTACTTATGTTACTAATTGCAAGATTAGAGTTAAGTGAAATTCTTAGATTTTACAATTTGTTGCTATTAATATCAGTGCTCAATATATTCATTGTCATATATCGTTTTCTTCTTTTATTAATTTTTATATTATCAATATTTATGATGATAATGATGCTCATGTTAGGAAATATTTGTGGAATTTTATTAATTTTGTTGAGCTAAACAATGATGAGCCTTGGATTTTATAGGGTGATTTCAATTTAATTAGAAAATCTGATGAAAAACTTGGGGATTACTACTTCAGGTCTTATTTAATTACATAGTACTTATTTTTCATTTATTGGTTTAATAATCAGTTAGAAAATCCTATTAAATGTTTCTTTGATAGGGCTTTTTGTAATACTACTTTGATTAATATTTTTTTCTCATTCTTTTTTTAAGTTATGGAACTTCTTTCTGCTAATCATCGTCATATCGTTATCTCTTTGAGTAATTCTGGTATTCCTCATTGTATATACCTCTACAAATATTATTTGAGCAATTACTCTAATTTTTTTATTGTTATAACTAATGATTGGAATGTTCTTTTGCTAAAGATGATTCTATGTTTGATTTATGCAATAAGCTTTAAAATATTACGATTGCTTTGAAAGTCTGGCATTGAAATTCTTCTAAGTCTCTTTCTAAGCATATTCATTAGCCTAAATATAAACAACCTGATGTTTTGTGCAAACTTGAGAATTCTCCTATTTGTAAGGATCTTCTTAATCAATTCTCTATTTTAAATGATAGCATTATGAAATCTTCTATTTTAGAATATAAATGGCCTAAGCAAAGTGCTAAATGTTCTTAGCTTTCTGAAGGAGAAGATCATATTAAGTTCCTTTATCAAAGAGTTAATTGCAGGCATAACTCTAATTTTATTAAGGAATTCTTGGTTAATTATGTTTACATTTCTTATTATGAAGGTATTGTCAATATTGCTATCTTTTTTTTTCTCTAATTTGCTTAATAGTCATTATGACGATTCTTTTTACTATGATCAAATATTTCCTATTATGAATTATATATCTAATGTTGATTATATTGTTCTCTCTCAAAGTTTTTTTTTATGACGAAATTAAACATGAGATCTTATTTTCATTGGTTCTAATAAATCTCCTGGTCATGATGTTTTTACTTATAAATTCTTTAAACAATTTTAGCATATTACTGGTCAAGATCGTGTTACTGTCATTAAACATTTTTTTTCTTTCCAATTTTCATCATAGGGTTAAACATATTGGCATTATTATTATTCCTAAAAAACAAGATGTTAAGTATTTTAATATTTTTTAATCTATTTCTTTGTGTAATGTTATTTAAAAAGTTATTGTTATTCATTTAGATAATATGGTTAAAACTATTCTTCTTAATATTTTCATCCTGTTCAAGCTGCTTTCATTAAAGGTCATGATATTACTGACAATATTATTTTGGTTGATGAACATATTTATGATTTTAATTCTATTAATTTTCTAAGAAAATTTTCTCTAAAATTGATCCAAAGAAAGTCTGTGATAATGTCAATAGAGAATCTCTCTACAATAGAATGAAATGTTTAGGTTTTCCGCCTATTTTAACTAATTAAATTAAAGCTTGTGTTATTGTAATTAATTTTTTTATTATTATTAATAGTGAGATAAGTGACCATTTTTCCTCTTCTTTGGGGCTTTGACAAGGTTGTCATCTTTTCCCTTCTCTCTTCACTATTATCATGAATGTTTTTTCTTCTATACTTGATCATCAAGTTGTTGATATTAATAAAGAAAATATTTCTCATTTAATTTACGTTGATGATCTTCTTATGTTTCATAAAAACTGATATGATTTATGTTAATCACTTTATTTATATTGTTGATGATTTTGGCAAAAGTTAACAATTTTTATTCTAATGTTTCTAAATCTTTGAATACTCTTTCTCAAATTAATACTTGCAATGCGTTCAGTTTTTCTATAAAACTTTTGCCTTGAGATTATCTTAGTGTTATTATTAAGCATTCTAGATTAGTTGCAGTTGACTGCCAGAAAATCCTCGATAAACTCAATTTATGGCTTTCTAGTTGGAAACAATTCTGGATCATGAAATAATTGAAGTAATTATTCTCATTGTAATATTTATTTTTATCCTCATAACTATTTACCTTGTTTAGATTGGTACTAGTTGATTTGGCTCAAGGGCTTTTCCCTTAAAATTTGCTTTGCATTTTCAGAAAATTATTCATCATTCTTTCTCTTAAGGGTATTTATGTTAGTATTATATGTGCTCTTTGCTCTAATGAGGTTGGATCTCATAATCATTTATTTTTCTGAATGTCATGCCTCATTAACCTCTTAATAAATGTATCCCTCATGGTCAATTTTCCATTGTTCATCTTAATAGATTTCAACTTTTATACCATTCTGATGTTATTTGCTATAAAGTTATAAGAGATTCCATCTCTTAGACATCTCTTAGCTATTCAAATTAATACATTTATAAAAGGAATCAGATAGAAGGCCAACCATTGGATTCCAACAAAGAGCAAAGCACAACTTTAGACTTCATCCAACTTTCAAAACTTACAAGATAAAATTTTGATTCCTATAAATAGCAACTAAGATCCCCTAATCGTAGATGATCAGACATCCCCCCCTGTTTGGAGAAGCATAGCATCAATTTCATCGCCATCTTCCATATCCAACTGAAAAAATAAAATCAATCAATCAACTTAAATTTAAAAAAAAAACAAAAAACAAAACGACATGCAATTTCATATCTAACACCTAAAGTTTAGATATTTAGGTTTATAACACATTGGCACATGCATCAAAAAGGTGTATTTCACTTTCAGAAGGCTAATGATGATAATATTTTGATGTAATGTCAAAGATCAAGTGTTACATGTGTAAATATGAAAGTTTGGGCGTTATATATGTTAATATACAAGAATGGTGTGTTGTACATGTAATGTATGAGAATTGCTTTTTCAAAATGGAGCTCTAATCTAAGAAATTTTCTATAATTTTGACTTAGCATAAGTCACAAGTGATGGTGGTATTAATAATGTGATATTAAAGATTCGAGTGGCATGCATGTAAATATAAATGTTTAGGTGTTAGATATGTAAATACATAAGAATTGTGTTGTTCACGTGTAAATGCCACTAAATTGTTATAGAGGCAGTTGAATCAAGCCCAAACTAACCTCAGCTGGTGTTTGCTCGCCGCGGAGTCTACGACCATCAAAGAGAAAGCGAATAGAATTGGCATCTACAGACTGGCGATCACAGTAGGCAGTCATAAGCTTCTTTAGGAGCGCGCCGCGCTTGATCCTGAAAAATACTTCATTCCCATCCTGAAAGCCAAAAATATACCATCAGAATGAAAATATGCAGAGAATCAGTGGTTTAATCCGAAGTCCTTATTAATCGGATAAAATAACTTGCGGTTAAAGCTGTTTTTAAGGTTTCTAAACATGAAAGTACAAATTACATGTGCATGCAACAACAAGGGCAATGTAACATCTGCATTTAACACCTTGCTTTAATTACTTTTTCAAAAGTCGCGAGAATCCTCTTCTCCTTGTCCTCTGATGTTGTTTGTTCTTTTACTCTATACATATAGATTACAACAATCCCTAATGTTAAACCAATGGCTACAACAGTGACACTATGATTTAACATCTTTCTCTCCTATAGTTGAACACTTTCCTTCTTTCCAGTAGTAGCCAAAGCTTTATTTATGACACGAATCAGGCAGACTAAAAAAATCTTTAATTTTGTGTAAGGCCATGAAGTCCTACTACATAATACAAAGTTCTCATTCAAAAACATTTTTATAATTGAGCTTCTAAATCTTATAGTGTATTCTTCTTGTAAGAACTTCTCCCGCTCGCTTCAAATATTCTTTGCGATTGATGGGATAGAATTGAACTTTTAACAATCTTTTAAACATTGATCATGCGAAGACTCACATTAGTGTTTAGATTATGAATTCCATCATACTTAACAGCATCAGGCAGCTTCATCAAATCAAATGCAGTTTTCTTTCCATGAAGGTAAACGTTGGCTATGAAATAAATTTCTAAAAACCCGGAGCAATAGTCATAATCACCTTAGCTTTGATTACTCTATCAAATCAAAGTATCATGCAGTCTTCTGCTTGTTGCATGCCCTTATTCAAGATCTCAACTTGATAATAAATCTATATTTCAGAATTAATGTATGGTTTAAACAAAATTTAAATTTAAATATTTGATAGACAAAAAATAGATCATGTCTGCATCACTAATGCCTGTCAGAAAGTAAGGGCTCAATTTCAAAGGCTTCTTAAAATATATTATATATTATCCTCTCTTCAGGGTCAAAAAACATAATCAATTTGAAAATAATTGTTTCATAATCATTAATATAAATTAATTTTAAAAAGTTTAAATGCTTTGATTATTAATATAATTTCAAGCATTGATATTTTAAAACTGATGATTAAATCTTTATTATTTAATAGCAGCTAAAATTAATTGCTGCTATCAAATTTTAGTTATAATCATCTACCCTGCACATACTAAGTTGTGAATTTTGCCCCTCTGAGACAGATCGAATAAAAGAATTGAAGATTAAACGATCAATATTTTGGAACTATAATAATCTTATGATGTATTCTTCACGTTTTATGGTCTTGACATGCAAATCAAGCCTATCCGCAGAAAACTCACACCGATCCTCTAATTGATAACAAGCATCACGGATCAACATAAGAAACTATGAATGACAATATATAGTTTATTCAATCAATAAAATTGAACCCGCCTGCAACAATGCTAATGGCGCCTCGCATTGTTAAAAAGAAGTGAACATTTACCGCTACAATCCCGATCACTCCAAACATTACAAATCACATGATACATAAAACCAATAAAAAAAGAAAAAAAAAACTTGCTACTGTAACAGAGCAACCGATCGAGAGATTTCACCTGGCCCTTGACCTTCAGATTAATGTGCGCAGCCTGCTCCGGCTTCTTGTCCTCCTGCTGTCCGTCTCCCGACATTCTTCACCAAACGTAAATTGCAGTGTTCCTCTATTCGCAGATTTATGAGTTTCTAGGGTTTCCTGCGCGGTCAAGTACAGAATGGGCGACGACAGCGAGTCAGCCATCACCATCAAGCCAAGAAACATTTCTCAAGAATTTTCAGAACCAGAATTAAGAGATATTTGGAGTCCGGCTATTAGTGCCACCTGACTCCAAGCCACCTGACATTATTATTTGACACATGTATGTGACATTATTATGATGTAATTTGTATTTCGGTATTATTTTTTAGTTTTGACACGATATTATTAGATTGTTATTGTAGTGTTATTATTATATTATTTGAAATTATAATTGATATATTAGTGCGGTATTATTATTATGATATTATACAATATTATTTGAGGTTACATTGTGATGTTAATAGTTGGCGGTATTATTCGTGTAAATTTGCAGTGTTATTGAGATATTATTGTAATGTTATTAATATTATTGCCTCCAAAAATACGTAAATAATACTTAATTTTTATGTAATTACATATCTAACCCCTAAATATTAATTCTTTCGTACATACCATCGACCCTATGGATGAAATAGTTTATTTTCAATTTTTAAAAATTAAAATGATGGCATTATATCAAATTTTTTTATGGTATAAATGTAAAAATAAAAGTATGTGTATGAAAAAATTCTAACCTGCGGTGCTTTTTTGGTGTTTTTGGGGCGGTATTATTATGCAGTATTATTCTGGTGTTATTTGAGCTGTTTTGCAACAGCTACGGTGATATTCGACTGTTGTTTTATAAATATTATTATGGTATTATTGTTGTATTATTATGGTGTTATTAAGATTTTATTATTATGTTATTTGAGCCGTATATTAGATTATCAAAAAATGAAAGAAAGGTTTACATGCATACCACTCAATTCTTATGTATTTACATATCTGACCCCTAAACGTCAATATTTTCATACACTCCATCAACACTATGGATGAAAAAGTTTATTTTCAATTTTTAAACATTAAAATGATGGCATTTTTTTTATGTGATATCAAAATTTTTGGTGGTATAAATGTAAAAGTTAAGTATAGGTGCTAGCATGTAAATACAAGAATTGGGTGGTATGTATGCAAATCCCCAAAATAAAAATATGCAAAAACCGCCGCAATATCACTAAAATAAAGTCGGGACGACCCGGGTCATTCATTAAAATATGGAGGTTTTTATTTTTTATTCAGTAGGGCCTATGGCATACAGGTGGCGAGATTTATTTGGAGTTCGGGCGTAGCTTAGCTTTGCATCCGAACTCCTGACGTAATATGTTTTCCCGGTTGCGTCGATTGCTTTCTTCGTCCGTGACAATCCACAAAATTAATATCAAAACACAAAAGTATTAAATATTTATAAAATTATGTTTATAACAATTTTTATAACGTAAGTATGAATGTAATATAAGAAAAAATTGTTTGATTTATATTTTATAATATTCAATAGTTTTATTTTTACCGATACTCTATCGCTTATTTATAATTCTACTTTAACAGTTATGCCTCTACTTTTTATTAGATTCCTAACACATTCACACCGATTATGAACCACGAAAAGCGAAAAAATTACAAGGCATAGCCCAGTTCGAACTGTCCACTATGAGTTGATGAGTACGTACACAATCCTAAGTTCCATAATGTCGGGAGAAGTTGCAGTTGAGAGTAGTTGTCCGGACTTTGGTGCATTGTCTTTGAGGTGTATCATTGCATGATATTTGGGAGGATACATGATTTTGTAGGGTGTCTCGTTACTCTGCAACGTTAAATTTTGCTCAGTATGGTGCTTCAGTTTTTTTCATTTTAATGACATATTCATTATTTATTTGGCGAGCATAAGTTTCACTTTTTTAGCTCTATCTATATAAGTCATAAGACATAGAGTTTCTTTCTCTTGATCTTAGGGCTACCGGGATTCCCTTGGGCGATGTAATTCATGGATTGCTGACAAAGGGTGTTTGTTTGGGTTGGGTCGACTACCTTCTCGACCAGATAGACTCAGGGTTTTCATAGTTTGGGATGATAGTTTTATGGTATCTTAATTTGGCTACCTATACTTTTTTAGGGATTCTTCCCCTTTTATTGATACACCCCTTTTGAACCTAATCATTCATTTGATACATCGTGGATGTCGTCTCGTTGGTCTCATTGCCTACAGGTCGCCGTCCATTTGAGATACGACGATGCACCATTTGCCTTTATGGCTCGGTTAGACCCGGTAGCATGGTGTGGATCCTGCTTGATGACCTGATTACTTCTTAGGCTCCATTTGTTGATAGGTCATCCTCCATAGTAAATACAGTAATTAACCCTCTATCCAATGACCAAGTGTAGGCTATTGAAAGCATCGAGACATTCCTATTTGATGAAACCATTATTTTGTGACCCCCTTTTATTAATTGTCATAATAATGTAAGTAAGACTTCTATTATCGAAAATATTTATGTGTATCTCCCAATATATAGTTAACCAAAGAAACATGTATCTCTGGAAATTGCTCTTGATCCCAGAACAAATCTACGATTTTGGTTCTCTGGTTGTACGGGTAACTAATAATGGGATTGTCTTCGTGGATGTTGTGTCTCAAAGTGCTTAGATCTGATCTTGTTTCAGAACCACATTTTCAACCTATCATACGAGGATTACCTTACATAAGCTCCCGATATTTATTTTTTATATGTTTGTCTATTTTCATCGTATATTCTCATCTTTTTTATTCCATCCTTCTCCGGATCACTTTTTATGATCCAACATATATATATATCTATCTATCTGTGTGTGTTTGTGTGTGAGAGCTAGCAACTCGAATGTTCAATTAAAAAGCACAAAAAAAACAACCCATTTGGAGATTATATTATACTATAAGAAATTAAATTGATATTTATTCAACATACCAAAATTTATGCAATAACAATTTTTGTAAATATTTAATTGTTTCAATTTGTTTATGATATAATCAAATAAAATATACCATAATTTGCATTACAATAATTGATGTTTGTCGGAAGATTCGCGATGATAGAGTGATTATTTATCATTTTATTGTCACACAAAAGTCCAACATGCACATGTAATTGAAGGCACGGGTACAAATACCATAAATTTTTATGCGAAAAACCCAAAAGTGAAAAAAATTACTGGGTCTAATCAAGTCAAACTCCACTATAAGTTGGCAAGTGCACACACAAGCCATTGTCCCACATAAAGAAAATGATTGCACAATTTCTCAAAGTATAATTGTTGTATGCAGAAAGAATTGTTTTATTACGGTCCAAAGCGATTGTAATTGAGAGTAGTTTTCGGGACTTTGGTACATTATCTTTGACGCGCATCATTGCACAGTGTTTAGAAAGATGTGTTGTTCCATATGGCGCATCACTCCGTGACATTGGTCTTCAATGAATGATGTCGATTTTTACTCTCTGTAGTGCTTCGTGCTCCGCAATGTATATCACAACTCCGCGAAGGGTTTCGTTGCAATGAGAAGGGATGACCAATGGTCCATTGGTTGGCGGTAGCCTATGAGTGGTGATCGACAATGGTCGATGATGGTCGGTAAGTGGTGGCCAATGGTAGTCAACATGGGAGCAAGAAGCGTTCATCCACAACGTACATCATAACTCTGCAAGGGGCTTCGTTGCAATAAACAGAGACAATTGATGATGGTTGGTGGTGGTGGTTGGTGAGCGGTGGTCAGCGATTGGTTTGTCCAAGGAAGGGTCATATGGATACAGTGTATCAGATTCTGGGGTACCTGAAGAGTGCGCCAAGGAAGGGGTTGATCTTCAAGAAGAATGGACATGTAGACATTTAGAGATTTTGTGACGTTGACTGGGTGAGTTGTGCATATGACAAAAAATTTACCTTAGGATACTGAATGTTCACATTGTTGCATGGATCGAATTGCCTCTACCGGTCTATCTAATGAGGTCGATCAACACCCTTTTGAAGGGAAAACTTACCGTGGGACTACAAGCCTTGATTGCCTCTAACTTGGTTTGTCCAACAAGTTTAGTCAACACCTATTTTAAGGGGAGATAGTTGCATAGTCATAGGATCATGGGTCTTAACTGCTTCCAAATCGGTCTGTCGGATAAGATCAGTTAACGCCTTTTTTAAGGGAAGATGAATTCCTCACATATGATCATGTATCTTAACCCCCTTCAAGTTGGATCCATCTAACAAAAACAACCAACCCCTTCAATTTGCAAGGATAGACTCTTGGTTTTACCCTTGAATACAAACAAAAGGAGGAGAGTGCCCTCCATACCCCTTAAGTGGGGCATTTATTGTTCCAAAAGGAGAAAAAGAAATAAAGTTTGGAGGAAAATATTCAAATTTTTTTGGAGAATATTTAATTAATTAGTCCCATACATATTTTCCTTTTCAAAATAGTGCAAAAAAGAAAGAAATCTGAATACAAAAAAAAGACTAAAATCTTACATTCTTGCAACAGGTGTCGCGAACACACAGGCGCATGCATGCTTCTTTTGTTGTCATCTTAGTTGCCACCTAACCACTGTTGTTTGGTTGATGTTGCCATGAAACATGAGCCTGACAACCACCGTTGTCGCCAACAAACCACCACAGTCGTCTCCTCGAGACCACCTCCTAACCGTCATCGGACAACTGCCATCTGGTTGTTGATGTCACTGGATCATCACTGTTTGGTCATCGTCGTTGTAGGTCCACCACAATCATCATCGTAAGATCACTATCGTTGATCCACATCTGCCTGAACACTACTGTCATCACCGCTAGACAGTGAGCCTGTCAACGTCATCACTCGTGTTACCAACAACAGTCTGTACAACCCATTAATGACACCTTGTGGCCTCCGAGGCCATTTTCCAACATTTCTAACACAAATTTGATATTTCCAGATGAATATTAGAGAGTTTCTCGAGTTACAACCCCTGAGAGAAGATATGTCCTAATAGCAAAAAACAACTGCATCTTACATTTTCTTGAAAATCATTATTTTACGTCACACAATTTTTCAAAAGCTTGGGGCATTTTTTCAACCTATTTGACAACAATGTATGAAATAGAGGGACAATTGATGTGTTCTTAAAAAATCATTTTGATCAACATAAATCTTAATGCACATTTTCTTCGAAAACTTCAAAAATCAAATTTGAAAACGTCTGCACTCGGATTATGATCAAATGAATGGTCTTAGGGAGATGAAATGTCTGACATAAAAAAGGAACAATCTCAAGTCCAAGTGAGCCCATATTATGCGCTTAAAACATAGTTAGAAGCTTTAAAATATATTTTGGGAGATCAAATGATATTCAAATATGACAAATTTATAGTAAAATGAAACCCTTTTAGGAGCCAAACCCAATAAGCCTGAGATCACTTAATTCTGACATCATTAATGTGTTGAAATTCTCATAAAACACCATCTGATCAAAGCGATCACTCTTAGTCGTCTGATGGAGTGCTCCTAATTCATGAAATATTTATAGAGCATATCACTCACAAATTTATAAATAGACATCTAGTTTCTTCATGAAGAGGGACCCAAACATAGAAAAGAAAGTTGAAATAAGTCCAAGCTCTTAAGGGTTCTTGAGCTTCAATACTGTCGACTAGCCACTGCCACCATCAGACCATCGTGGCAGCTGCTCGGACACCATTGTTGAGTCGCCTCCATCGTCGAGCCACAATTAATGGGTCGTCGCTGTCTCAACAGAACTGCCGTCGTCTGAACCCCCTCCCACTCCAAACCGTCGTTGTTGAGTTGCCGCCACCATCGGACCACCGTTGCCCAAACACTATTTCTTGGCCTCCACCGCTTTTGATGTGGAACCACCGTCGTTGCCACCGGACTACGACAGGCAGCATCATTAAAAATACTGTTCGAGCATCACTGTCGTCACTACCACCTCTACCGCCAAAATTGACATCAAAACTTCCAACACTTGACCTCTATTTCCTGCTTTTCTTCATAGGAGTCGTGTCACCGGCACTTCCCAACATTTCCTATGACCGCCTTAGCAAGTCACATTTCACTTGTACTATTGCTTCCAACTATTCAAGAGCCGATTACGTTTTGTAACATATATCGACTTTGTGAAATCATTTCAAATTTTGTAAAATCGAGTGATTTTTGCTCCCATTTTGATTTTCCACATAAAAAATTGACTCTCAAATAAAAACTAAATTAAGCTAGTATGCTATCTTTAATAAGCAAAACTAGCAACTCCTATCACAAAGCCCTATTTAAAAAAAAGATCTAAACTATAAATTTATTATATATAAACTGCGCATTTACATACGTATTACACAATTCCTACGCATTTAAACATATAACACCTAAATTTTAAATTTATTATTTACAATATTCAAATATTTAATATCTCGTAAAAAAGTAATGCCATTACTAATTTCTTAAAAAGTAAAATGAAGTTATAATTTATACGTAAAATATTATAAATATAGAAATTAGAGTTTGGAACTAAGAAAAACTGTGACATTTATAAAGCCCTAGACCACAACCGGAGCCGAAGGATGCCCAATCAAATCGCTACCCCTCCTCACCACCACCACCACCACCACCACCACCACCATCACCAGCACCATCACCATCACTGCTTTCCTCTGCCCCACCGACACCACCACTTATTCACCAACTCCTCTCCTTCCCTCGCACGGTGCCCTTGTCTTCTCCATCATCGTCACCATCACTTTAACAGCAGCTCATCCCATCTTCAGTTTCTTCCAGCCGCTCCTCACGCAATTTCATCTCTTCCTCCAAACCCATGCCCAGTCCCGGCAGGCTGCTTCAGTGGCTACTCAACGGTTTCGACAGCGGCGGAAGCCTCGGTTTCTGAAAGTTTGTATGTACTATATTCTCAGATTACATTTAAAGATAGATCTTTGTCCCTGTTATATTTCATTAACATTAAATAGCTATAGTTTTTTTATTTCATTGATCATTGTTGAATCCTGATCTGTCGGAGAATCACACAAGATAATAGAGCGAAAGATAAGATAAATAAAAAGACAAAGAGAGAGAGAGAGAGACACAATAATGAAGAGTAATATGAGTTGCTGATTAAAAATTTCTCATAAAATGATTCCCCTGTTTATAGAGGAGGGGGTATAATATGTGAAGTCGCATGTTTGCCCCTATTTTAATGGGGCATTACATGATATTTTAGGCATTTTACAGGTATGCGCCTACGGCTTGACTGTCATCTGTCTCGGTTAGGTGAAATCGACAAGAACTGCTCGTTCTACTGTGTTGAATCGCGGATGTTTGTCTGCCTTTGATGGTCTTTAGGTTGATAGAACGGCTAGATCAACTTGTTTTTATCGGCCTGCTATTATAGCATGGTTGCTGACTATTGATTCCCAGATGAGCAACTTCTGTTGGCAAAACGAGATTTTGTTATCGGGCAGAGTGTGAAACACATCTTATAGGTATACTGTTCCTTGACGAAAGGGTTTTTTGCGATGTTCATGGACTATATTATTATAAATTTTCGGCCTCTGATGAGGAATTCCACTGGCGTTCGTGAGATGACTAGTGATACTTAATTCTTCTCTCAAGTCAGGTTGCAGGGATATATAGATCGACATCTCTTCTCGACATGATTGACCTTAATTCCTGGTTCGGGTGACCAACACCAATGTGGCCTCCAGCCTCAATTCAGGGGGATTGTACCTTTTCAAATTAGTAGGTCATTTGGTCTCCCGTTAGTGGGTCCTCTTTAGCTGTACTTTTCCGCCTTCTAGTCTGTTGGATCTCCTCGAGATTCATGGTGGTGCATTTATGTTGTAATGCACAACTCTACTTATGAGTCCAATATATAAAGAGACCTAAATTCAAAATATTGGTCTAAACAAGTAATTTTATGTGATATTACTTTTTATTCTTTGATGTAATTAATCCTGCATTTTGAATTTGTTTTGAGAGAGGTAGAGTGAATCTCGGTGCAACCCATCGATGAGCTGCCAAAGCTTAACTTTTGATACAAATCTCGAATTTCAAGCAATTCTAAATGGATGTGTTTGAGCCTAATTCTAGTTTGTTTGATTGGACTAGTGCCTATACAAGCTCAAAATGTTATGATGAAATCTACCATTGAGTCAATTAATACTTTAATTGATTAATATAAAGCTTGAATGCTAATGAATTCACTAAATTGAGCGATACAAGTCAGATCTGGACTGGAATGGCCCAACGCAATTGAGTTGATCATTCTTATCGTAACAAAACATTCACACAAGGTGTTCCATGCAAACTGTGCTGGAAGCCCAAAACTTCTTCAGAGCCAATATTACTTCTATTGTCCATTTTGCTTAGTATTCATTATAAACACTTAAGGAATCTTCTTGTAATTATTCCTTTCATTTCTTTTAATAAAGTCAACCAATTTTGTTGGACTTACTTAATAGGTAATAAATATTCTCATAATCATTGCTTTAGTTCTGCTCATGGAAACTTTGATCTGTCCTCACCTATTTGATTATGACTTTGATGCCAACTACATGTTAATATGTACTATTTGGATAAAAGTCAGACTGTTATTAGTAGTTTCAACTGTTCACACTAGCCCGTGTATGGAAGGGCCTAGGCATGGCTCCTTCAATCTAATTCAATCATTGGAGTCGGTATTCTTCATAAATTTTTTTTTTTTTTTGATTAAACACAAAAGTTAAACATAGTAGGACTAAAATATATAAATTGATGATTTGTAACCAACTTTCGTTGTGCTATTGTATTTGCCATCATTGTTAAGAAGAAAGATTAGCATGTTAAGAAGACTATAATAAGCCTTTGGAGAAGAACCCTAATGATCAATGAATATAAAAAGAGGTTATCTATAGTGTTTATTTACCTGTTAGTGACTTTCACCCTTTTGAACATCTTTCTCACTCAATATAACACTTCTCTATTTTAAAATTTATTTTCCTGTTGGATTACAATAAGTATCCTTCACCTTGATTCACTCTTCGCCAAGCGGCAGTTGGATTCTTGTTTTTACAGAACCCAACACATAATGACTGTTTCTATGTGTTGGACAACTTTGTGAAAAGGCTTTTCAATGTTGTTTGGATTGCTGGAATTGCTATTCGAAACTCAGCTATCTGTTTTTTGGAATTTCTAACAATGGGTAAATGAGGACTAAGGCAGCTATTCGGTGGCTAGTAGGGGCATAAACAACTGCAAAAACATAGATGCTGGTGGTCCATATAGGGAACGAAGAGTAGTTCAATTTTTTTAGTTACAATAAATGGGAAGCTCAACCGTTTTTAATGACGACAAGAACAATAACTTGATAGCAGGCTTGCAATTTTTGCTACAATACTGGTGCAGTAGACTTGTCACTTGGCTTGGCTACGGACAAGTAAAATGTAAGCCGCTATAGGGAAAATAGATGTCAGGATTTTGGCAGAAATTTCTGATTTTCAATTATTTCATTTCAGGAAATTAAGCTTGTTTAGATACAAATGCATCATTGTACAGCCCTTACCTATTTTCTAAATAAATTCCACAGTAGAGAAAATCCTATCTAAAAATAACAAACTAGTTCACTTTAAATTAATGACAAATATATTAGAAATCATGTTGATTTTGTGTTTAAATTCAAATATAACTTTATCCAAAACAAAGTAAATAGATTAAGGCTATTCCTTATCCCATTGTAATATAAATTTTATTCTTACGATCCAATTTTTTCCATATGACATTTAATTGATGACCTGATTTGTTTACAAATTTGGCAACACCCTCTTTGATCTTAATGGCGTGATTCAAGAATCACCAATGCCCACAAATTTCATCCACCAATCAAATGATTTGTAATTAATTTAATCCTGTGATTCTTTTATTATCTCTTATCCGGATTGTGAATAATTCTTCTATTTGTGGTATTTGTTTAAGTGAGTGGTTAGATTGGTCATTCCTAGATTAATATGACAGCCTTTTTTAATTTGAGGTTTTTTTTTCTTATTTTTCGAACTTTGGAGATTAAATTTTGAATCTCACTTTATGATGTTTTTGCTTCATACACCCCACTCGCTAACAAATGAATGATCCATTGTTGCTTACTAATCGCATAAACATAAATTATTGATGATTGATGTGCTGCTCATTGATGATGGGATGCACTTGCAATTTCCTCCTCTAACGAGGTGTTGCTGATGAAAAGATGCGGTTCCTAGTTGTTGTTTATGTTGACGTTACTTGAGCTTGTCATTATTCATCCTGACATCGCCAAGATATGATGTCAAATACCTCAGCTACACCTGCAACCAATATGTGATTCTTTGAGAAATTTTTAACTTAAGGGAGCTTTAAACTTTATGCTTGAATGAAATAAAAATTTAGTAAATGGATGGAAAATCAAGTAATATTGAAGTTTACAAATATTTTTGTCATATGATTATGATAGAACATCTGGGCTGTTTTAATAATGCTATATGATTTTGATATACTTTGACATTGGAAAAGAAAAGCTTCTTAAAAGATGAAGACATTGTGATGGAATAGCATAAAATAAGATTTTGAGGTTCTTAGGAATGAGATTGTTGCTTGAGCTTGATAAAGATTGAAAAACTACTGCTAATTATTCATGTCAGCTACTCTTGCCCATTTAGCTCAAAGTTTGTGAACCGCTGCTCAAATTTTGTGACCCGCTCTTGTTCGGTTTGTTCATCAACCGAGGGGCTGAATATAAAAATAATGTTTAGATTTGATTCATTAACTCAGGAAAATAAACCTTGGTTTTATTTGTTTGTTTTTGGCTTGAAAAAATTGGCATACATGCTATAGAATAGGGGCATTTACATACATATCACACAACTCTTATGTATGTAGATATCTAACTTCTAAACTTTCATATTTACATACATAACACTCGAATCTTTGAGATCACATTAAAAACAGCACTATTATTTGCATCTTTCATGCATAGGTTTATGACACCTAAGTGATATTACTGTAAATGTGAAAGTTTAGGTGTTTGATATGCAAATACATAAAAATTATGTGGTATGTATGTAAATTTCCATATAGAATATTAAATGTGGTAGGTTGACATACTTGAAGCATGTGTGAAGTAATTTAAACTTTTGAAATTCAAAATTTTATGGATATTAAATATAGGATTAGCTTTCAAATTATATTAGATTCTAGTCCCATAAGAGTTTGTTTTCTCAATCTTTAAATGGTTGAACACTGTATGAGCTGGGTGGAGTGACATGTGATGATAAAGTAACGAGCTGGGTGTTGTATGTAGAGTTCTGTCATGTCATGCTCTCGGGTTCTAAACTTAGGCTGGGCGAGGCGGTTTTGTCTTTCCAGCAATGAGACCCTGCTCAGCGCTTTGGCACTGTGTACAAAAAAAAAAAAAAAATCGGGGGCATCCCTCTCAACCCGATACTGGGGGACACTCGAAGTCAACCATAATAACATTTGAGCCAGCCAAAAACAAACCTCATCCATAATTCCACACAAACTCTTACGCGACTGCTGGTCCCAAACCATTACCAGCCTCAAGTTCTGCTATCTCTGTTGGTCCTGTGAGAGGCCATGGCATAAACTGCTCCTAACTCTTAAGCCTGCATATCTAAGCTTTTCATTTCCAGTTGGATCTTAATCTCACTTTGTTTGGGCCGGCTTTTACATACACAACACAACTATTACGTATTTACATATCTAACCCCCTAAACATCTTTACTCAAATCTTTTAACATCACAAAAAAATATCATCATCATGTTTTTAAAAATGAACAACATAATTTCATAAATAAGTTTATGACATCGAAATATTCTAAATATATATCAGAACTTCAATTGTTAGATATGTAAAAACATAGGAATTTAGTGGCATGTATGTAAGATAAAGAAAGCCCGAATGTGGTTTATATCTATTAATTCTCTTAAATACGATATTTTGAAAATTATGTTACCATGCTGAATTTTGACTCCCTCTTTGATATTATCGGTATTAATGTGGCTATTTATCTCTATCACACTTATTAGATCTTGTATCCGCAATCATCCCGCAATTATTTTCATCAGGGAAATTATTCCTCTCAGCTAAGTTTGTGAACCGCCTTGGTGGCGGCATGCCCGTTTCGCGCTGTTTCACCCCGTTTCATCCCATTTCAGTTTCGAACCGCTCCAAGTGCTAAACTTGCAAGATAAACACGAAAAAGAATTTCTTTAAAGTGTAATTTCATTAAAAAATATGTGATAAATGTAAAAGAGATTAAACATAAAAAGACATAAAAATACGTCATGTCAGAATTTTCTTCCTTGCTCAATCAATTTGGCTCCAAATTGTATCATTTTCGTTTCATTTTCTCAAAAAGTCCCACTCTTGTGTTTGGAACAAAAAACATGTAAAATATCTTTCTTTAAAATGCAATATCATTAAAAATGAACATAAGATGTATATAAAAAAGTAGGTAATTTTTAGGAGTGTCATATGTATGTAAAATTTCATATAGAATATTAAATGTGGTTGATTGACATAATTGAAGCCAAGTGGTAAGTAATTTAAGCTTTTGAAATTCAAAATTTTATGGATATTTAATATAGGATTATCTTTCAAACTATAGTAGATTCTAGTCCCATAGCAGTTTAACTTCTCAATCTTTAAATGGTTGAACACTGTATGATCTGGGTGGAGTAACATGTCATGATAAAGTGAAGAGGTGATTCAAACATATGGATATGATCTTATATAGATGATAATACAATAACTTTCAAACTGCAGACAATTCAATCTCATGACTTGAAAAAGTTTTTTTTAGCTGCAGTCACTTCAAACATGCCAATAACATATAGATATAAAAGGATAAAGATTATATTCTTAGTTTTCAGCGCTCACTTTGTAGATAGGAGAGTTTTTTTATCTAATATTAAGATTTGTTGTCTTGCTAGTTCTTGCTATATTTCTATGCATGTTTTATTTTTCTCTTGGTTTCTTGTACTTTTCAGTGCTTGACGCGTTACTTTTAACCGACAAGATGAGTCCACAGAGACGTCATTTAACGTGCTTTTAATTTCATCATATAAAATTTTGAAATTTAGGACTTGTAAAGTTGATAGACTACTCTCGGTGATGGAGTTGATTATTTATACTTGGATTTCTTTTATGAGCAGCTTTCAACCACAGGATCAGAGTATGGACTTAAAACTGGAAGATCCTGGAGAAGGGGAAGAATTAGAAGATGTCTTTGTTTTAACAGATGAATGGAGAGAATTGTTTGCAAAATCTGAGGCTAAAAGGAGGATGGGTACATTTCTCTGCCTTCTATTTTATATTAGGAAGATTAACATACATACCACTCAATTCTTATGTATTTACATTTCTAGCAATTACCCTTCAATTTTTACATATATGCCACTTTACCTATGCATGAAATGGTGTTTTTCACTTTTTAAAAGTCAAAATAGTGGTATTTTTGATGTGGTATGAAAGATTTGTGTCTTATAAGTATAAAATTTAGGTGTTAGATATGTAAATACATAGGAATTGGGTGGTATGTGTGTAAACACCCCTTTGTATTATTACATAGTCCGTGGAGAAAACCTACTCCATTAATGCGGTTTGGAGCATCCGTCATGTTTAAGCTATAATTTTCTGTCTTCTTATGCAGATAAGCAACAGAAGAACAAACACAGGAAGTGAGGGGCTCAATTTTCATAGTTCATATAATTTTGGCTGAACGGGCAAGATGCTGGTACTTTTGATATGATATGAAAGATTTGGATGATATAAATGTAAAAATTAAAGTTTAGCTGCTGGATATGTATTGCAAAAGAATTGTGTGGCATATGTATGTAATGCACCTTAATGTTTTGTGGCACTTAAAACGCATGATATACAAGATAATTGACATATCGTTCTATTCATATTTATTTGGTCTTTGTAAGCATAAAAGAGTGATTAAATGCTTGCATGTTAGGATGATTTTGTGTCTTGAGGTAACATAGATTTAATATGAGTATTGTATGTATGATTTGCATGCAGATGACTTATGATATATGACATCTCTTTGAGTGTTATGTTTATAATATTTCATTTTGAGGATTCTTATGAATGTTCTCATGTAAATTTATGATGTTTTCTGCTAATGTTGTAGACATTGTCATATACTCCTTTATATTTCAGTTCATATTCTATTACATACATCTATTAATATATAAATACCTCATAATTCTTATTTAATTGCATATGTAACACCTAAACTTTTTCATTTACATACATAACAATCAAATTTTTAATATTAAATTTGACTTTTCATGCGTTGGTTTATGGCATCAAATTGTTATAAATATAAACATATTATTTTTAAATTACCACATTTTGGTGTCTTATTTTGTACTATTCTTTACTATGCTCTACGGTTATGTTATATGCTATGTGGGATGCAAAGTGTTATTCCATCATAATTATGTTTCATGTCTTACTCAATTATCTGGTTTTAGTAATTTCATGTTAGTAAGTGTCAACAAGTATCATACTCTTTTTTACTTTTTGAAAGCCAAACACTCTTTTTAATGCATGATTTCGTGACACCAAATTTTAGATGTGCAACCCCCCCCCCCCCCCCCCATCTTATCAAATAACCTTGACAAATCTAATGAACTAAGTCCTTCAGCTAGACGACTTAGCTTCAATAGCCCATTATTCAGTTTTTCTTTGATGAAGGATATATTAATCTCCACATATTTGGTTACATCGTGTTGCACTAGATTGTTGGCAATGCTGATTGCTTATTTGTTGTCGTTCCACAAATTCATTTGAGTTTTTAGGTCGAACTTGAGCTCGACCAACTATGCACTTAGTCACATCATCTCGACAACTCCTAAAGCCATGACCCTCTACTCTGCCTTTGTTGTTGATCTTGCTACTACAAATTATTTCTTGCTCTTTTAAGAGACTTTGTTTCCCCCCATGTACATGCAGTATCCTAAGGTAAATTTTTTGTCATCTGCACAACTCACCCAGTCAACGTCACAAAATCTCTAAATGTCTACATGCCCATTCTTCTTGAATATCAACCCCTTCCTTGGTGCACTCTTCAGATATCCCAGAATCTGATACACTATATCTATATGACTCTTCCTTGGATATGTAGCGGCTCAAGCATAATTTTAACAAATTTAATTTAAGAAGGAAACAGATAACATAATTTTAACTTGGGAACAAACACGTGAATCTTATACTTGTTTGAAGGAGCTTTGTTATTCAACAAATCTCCTTTAAAAGTCATGTTAGTGAAAGAAACATTCTCACTTGTGATCTAAAACGACAAAAAAATGATGTTTTGTTGAAACAACTTTGGTAGACACTGTCATACCAAATGAAAGTAAATCCACGAGTTAGCGTTCACTGCAATGGAACATGGCTTCACTACCTTCCCAAACGAGGCCTTAAGCTTCAGTTCAATTTTTTGTTACATAACTAGTGTATAATTTAATGGTTATTTATTTTGAAGATAAAAATATTCTCCTCTCACATAAATGCTCTTTCTCTGAGAATTTGCATGCCACTTAATTCTCATTTTTGTACATATTGAACATTTAAATTTAAATTTTTTTTTGTTAATATGTCATCTTACTTGTGCATCAAAAGAAATATAACAGTTCAAGAGAAAATAGTACAACGAGTGAGGGTCCATTGATAGAAGATCATGAGACCCACTTATTCAATCGAGTGTAGCCATTCTAACCAAAGCTAACAAGGCCAAACCTGACTGAGTCACGAAAGACGATCGAATATCACAAATTCTAATTGTTCGGTAAAAAATGAGACAAAGAGACATCCAAGCTAACCAACATGAAGAAGCCAACCCGGGGAAGACCCAACCCCTCAATATCTTCAATCATACCAATGATGTCAAAAAGCTCCCACATTTATTATCAAGGGTTTACAACAAAACTAACTCAACTCACCAAACCAATCCTGCAGACTCAATGCTCATCAAGCTCACCCGACCAACAAAGCCGACTAATTCTAGCAGAACGAACCGGTTTTGCCGACCCATAACCAATCAAACTCAGCCAACCGAGCTAGAGAACACTCTAAAGATAGACTCATACCTGTAAAATATCAAGAATACCTTATATAACTCTCATTAAAGCATGTGCAAAAATGTAACAATCACCATATTTTATTTTCTTTTCTATAAATAGAAAGATCATTTTATAAACAAATGATAGCCACAATTATCCAACATGAACTAAAAATGTCAACACGAATAACTATTGTTCATCTCTCTCTTCTACTTAAGCTCTATTCCTTAGGACGCGAAGTAGAAATCATGATTGAACCCAAAAAAAAAAAAATCAGTATCAGTGTTCTTTATGATATGAAACAAAAAAAAAAAAATCAGTGTTCTTTATGATATGAAAGATATTGAGTGTATAATTGTAAAAGTAAAGTTTAATTGTTTAATATGTAAATGCATATGAATTTGATGGTATGTATGTAAATTGCGCCCTTTTTATATTGGTTTGTGTCTGTCGCTCTCTCCCTGCGGAACGCGGGATTCGGAATTCCCATAACTGCATGGAGCTTTTATAATTCCTCCTGGACGCACGAGTAACGGAAACTCCGCTGCTCTCCTCCCCTTCGCTCCATCCTCTCTTCTTCTCTCGTATTTCTCTCTCTAGAATACGGAAGCTTCCCTGTCCCAAGCATCCCGCTAACCTCCTTGATCCTTGGAACCTTCTCTCCAGCTTGATATTTGTGCGCGGAGGTTTTAATCCCCAAAAAATCTGAAAGATAGAAGAGGTTTTTACCTATTTCCGCCGACCTTTTTGAGAATACTGATTCATGTCGTGTGTTTGAGAGGTTCGATTCATGTTTATTTGACGCAGGTGTTTGCCTCCTGTCGAGACGGAGCCTGAGCGCCGCCGATTCCGGTAATGGGTGTCTCCGTCGATAATCTTCGGGGTCTCACTTTGGCCCTGTCGTCCAGTTTCTTCATCGGCTCTAGCTACATTGTCAAGAAGAAGGGTCTTAAGAAAGCAGGCGCTACAGGTGTTCGGGCCGGTGGGTTATCTCTTTCTCTCAGCCTGCTCCCCTTTCCCGATACTAACAGATTTAGGGATTTTGGTTTTCCTTTTTTGTATACTTTTGTGGATTTTAATTAGGTCCTCGGAGACGCCTCAGCGTGCCCTTTTTTAGGTCTTAATCACAACGCACTTTGGTCTATTGATTATTTATCCGGACGTTTAATAATTATTCGTTTGGGATGCTAATGTTTTTCTTTTCTTTTTGTTATTCAGGATCGGGAGGGTTCTCGTACTTATACGAGCCTTTGTGGTGGGTTGGCATGATAACCAGTAAGTATGTTGGTGACTATCAATCAGTTTTGAGTTACAGGAGTAACCATGCTTTATGTACATTTTGATGTTGCTTCTGTCGAATTATAGCTGGTACGAAAGAGAGTGAAGAACCATGTAGTTTGTAAAAGAATAGCGTGCAAGAAACTATGGAATTGGTAACAATTTGCAGCTAATTTTTGGGAGAAGATTTGATTTTTTTGAGACAAGCGGTGATTATGTTAATTATAAGTGTACAAATTGGATTGGGAAGGGTGCATGTTTTAATAATACAGTCTCACACTAAATAGCCTTGAACCTTCCATTTTATTGATTTTGATGTTTCAATACATCGCCAAAAGAAGATTTTGGGATGCTTTTTCATTCCACTAAGCTTCAAGAAAACAATCTCTCTTATATCTCCTATTTTTTTATTTTTTTTCTCTTTAACAATGTGATTTGCCCATCCATAAATACTATAATACTAATGTAAAATAAGTATAATGAGCTTTTATAATATAAACTATATATTACTAGTTCAATTGCTTGGTAAAAACATAATATGAATTTTTTTTATTTCCAAAACTTTCTTTGGACTTCATTCTTCCATCTATTATGTACAATCTCAAATGATGTTAATTCAACCTTCCCAACTTTTCAAGTGCTCTCTCTTCTTCTCTCTACCTCTTTCTCTCTATCGTGGGTTGAGGTTTTTACTCCCTATCTATCAATTTTGACAGGCTTACGCTTACTACCGTGCATCGTAGTGGTCAATTTGACATTTGTTGTGGTCATCGGGAAGACAACTTTCCCTTTCTCCTATTGCTAACATATTAATTATCCTTTAGAATATTTCTGGCCAATTGTTATATATCAGCCACTGCTCATTATGTATCTAGTTCCTCTATGACTTGCTGAATTTATTGCTTCCCTCACTTATTATAGATTAATTACTTTGTCTTAGGAGGATTATGATTGTGTAATTCAACACTCTCAGATCTTTCTGTCTACCGATCATGCCATTTCTCTAGCTCTATTGCTGTTGCTTTTTTTGGCATGTCTCAGATTCTAGACTTCGGGAATTCCTTCCATATGGAAAATAATCATTACTTATTCTTTTCTCTTGAAATCCTATCTTAACCTCCTGTTATTGTTTCCAATGGCACCCTTATTTAGTATTTGAAAATGATATGCATTTCTCTCTTTGGAATGATCTTTCTAATGTTTTATATATTCTAAAAAAATTTCTCAATTTACTGTCCATTAATTTCTTACTAGAACTTAATTTTTGTGTATTATTTTATCCATATTATTGCATGCTTCAAGCTCTAAGTATAAGTCAATTGGTGGATGTATTGAAGCTATGGTTTCCTCTATCTTCCTTCTCTTCATTTTGGATCAATAACATTATTTTTTGAGCCATCCTCTACCATGGCGACCTGAGGAAGTTTTCCCAAGTTCAAATTTAATTCTTGTGAGCAAAGTTAACATTATCATGTATCTTTTCTATCTTCTACATTGAATCTTAATAGTGTTCTTTTTAAGCTATTCCATTCTAATATTTGCGTTCTGAAAACTATTCTAGATTTAATTTTTTGTTATTCTGTTTGTGATCACTCTTGTGTTAGATGTGCATATTTACCTTGATGCAGGCCCATGGCCTTCTTTGGATTTCATGCCTACTGTTGGTAAATTGATTTACATTATTGTCACCAAGAAAAACTTTATCACTCACTAAGAATGGGCATCTTAATATAGAAGTTTTATTTGTCTTATTTATATATTTTTATCTGGACTAAGCTTGGTCCGTTTATGATAAAAATTTCTCATATGGGTCTTGGACGAGTGTGGAAGATAACTCAATCATATAAAATGGTAAGATGGACAAGCGACTAAATTTTGTGTTGAGATAGAATACAAAATCATGGCATACTCCACTTGTGAGATGATATGTGTTAAGACCCTCCTAGGAGTGTTTAGATTTTTTTTTAATTATATTGTGCATGCTGTTATCTTAATCAATTAGAATTAAATGAAAATATGACACTTAATAGGACACAATGGAGAAAAAAGATCCATGTTGTAATAGGAGAAAAAAGATCCATGTTGCCGACCTCACTTAGTGGGATAAATGATTGTTTGTTGTTTTTGTAGTTGTGTTATTGCGCATGCTTTTAAATTATGATAGTCACACTACCATCTATATTGGGTTTGATCATAAGCTTCATGAAAAAATAAAATAAATTGAGATTGAGTGTCGGTTTATTTCGAATGTGATGCTATGAAAGAAGATTGCTATTTATATTTCTCACTTAGAACAATTGATAGATATATTTTATCTTAGGCTTTGGGTCCACTTTAGTTTTAGGAGCTATATATTAAGTTGGAGCTAATTGATATATATGCTGCAACTTTAGTGGGAGTGTTGGAATATGAAATTTAATTTTAGAAAACTTTTCTATGTAGGGTTAGTGGAGTATATTGATTTCGTTATACTTTGATCTATTGTGTTGATTCCTCTAGTTTATATAGATTGGTTTTTATTGAATAATACACGACACATTATTTTTCCTCTAGCATAAGTTGAACAAGATTTTGCAAGCTTATTTCTTTGTTTAACACCTGGCTAATGTTGAATGTTGATTTGTCCGTGAATCACACCAAGGAATAGAGTGTAAGAAAGGGGTGAGTGAGAGAGAGAGAAATGAAGGATAATGAACAATAATTTGAGAGAGGTGTGTACCCATTTATTCATAGAATGATCTCTTATTTATAGAGAAAGGGGGTACAATATGTGAAATTATATTTATGCCCCTACTTTAGTAGGGTTGTTTAAGCTATTATATATATTTTATATATATTGGCCCAGAGCCTAGCTGTTTTAGTGCTTGACTGGTTGAAATAGCGAGCTCTTGGTAGGTTCTTCCGGTCAACTAAGCTTGGTAAATAATACTGATTAATTAGGCTAGTGAGACACGTCGATCGGCCAGATTCGGTAGAGATTGTCGGACGGCTAGACTTGATGTTATCAGTTGGCCGACCTTTTTCTGGCAAGGGGTTGGCAAGATTGACTCGGTAAGTTAAGTCATGTCGATTAGTTGGCCAAGTTTGGTCTTGAACCCTCGGTCCTTGATGAGAAACTCTTGTCGGTAGGGTAAAGATAGACAATCGGGCAGAAGGTAAATCAACTTTATCCGATAAATAACTACCCTTAGACAAAGAGATCTTAAGAGATGGTTGAGATTTGTCTTATAGACTCTTGATAATGTTTTCAGAGAGTTTGTTGGATGCTTTCGATAAAACTGTAGGACCCGAAGGGTTAACTTTTCTCTTGTGTTGGTTTCATTGTCGGGAACAACTTGGATCCTTATGTGCTTCTCTTTTCGTCGAACCACTCAAGTTCAAGCTGTTTGATGGACTTTGGTTGGTTTTGGCCTTGATATTTTTTATTGGACAATTGGGCCTCTGGATCTCATGTCGGTAGACCTGCATTTGGTATGCCTTGTCTGGACTATACCGTCATACCTCTTCAAGATTCGTACTGACATTTTTTCCATATGCATCTACAACTTTAAGGGGAACAATACAAAAAAGAGTGGATGAGAATTATTGGGTTCCCTTATTATTTTTTTCCCTTGGTGTATTATGCTCAGGTTTCAACTTATAAGTTTATGAATATCTTTGCATTAATTTTTTCAATTATGTGAATTTTTTCAAGGAAAAAATAATGAGATGGAAGTTCTTTCGTCCATATTAAAATGCAGAATATTGAATTTAACTTCTGTAAAAATTGCTGGCATGGTCTTTTCCTCCTAGACATTATTTGGAAATCTGTGCTTCTTTTTTATCGTTTTAAGATATTTCAATGTAACAATAACTTTATAATTTGCAGTGATAGTCGGAGAGGCAGCTAATTTTGCAGCCTATGCATTTGCTCCTGCAATTCTTGTAACTCCCCTTGGAGCTCTAAGTATCATTGTGAGGTAGTGTTCTTGAAAAAATTAATTTTGATATTTAGAATATGGTTTTCATGATGCTGACACAATGGTATCTTATTGCAGCGCAATTCTAGCTCATTTTATGTTGAACGAGAAATTGCATGTTTTTGGCGTTCTTGGATGCATCCTCTGCGTAGTGGGTTCCACAACTATTGTTTTGCATGCCCCTAAAGAGAGAGAAATAGAATCAGTAAAAGAGGTGTGGCATCTTGCTACTGAACCAGGTATTTTTTTATTATTATTTACTGGATGTTAATAAATGCCACCGTCTTTAATAATGTCATCTAGACTGAGACTAAAAAGAAGAAAATTATATTTTCTTAACAGGCGAACTTGATTGCATATTCAGTGTCAAATAATTCTTACAGCTAAGAAAAATGTGAACTTTTCATAACAGGCAAACTCAATTGTAAAAATGAACACACCTTTTCTTTCCCAAAACTTGAACTTATGTAATTATGAGGCTTTGTAAAGCTTTTTCTTGGAATATGGCACTTTAGATCAACTAGTCTTTCTTTATGCAGGTTTCCTTGTTTATTCTTGTTTGGTCGTGGTGTTTGTTGCTTTCCTTATCATCCGATTAGTTCCGCGTTATGGTCAAACACACATGATTGTATACATCGGAATATGCTCACTTATGGGCTCACTTACGGTACACAATTTTTACATCTAGAACAATTCTGTGTTGTATTTTCCACCCATCGAATTATTTAAAATATTTCTGTGTTTTGTTGCAGGTTATGAGCGTGAAAACAATTAGCATTGCCCTAAAGCTAACCATTCAGGGAATGAATCAATTTATATACTATCAAACCTGGATTTTTACAGCTTCAGTGATCGCCTGTATTTTAACGCAGCTGAACTATCTCAACAAGGTAAATTTCTGCACATTGGCGAAGCAGCAACAGAAGCTGTGTAAATGTTAGTTGTAGGTACTTTTATAAGGTTTGTTTTCATTAATTATTTCAGAGAAGCCTATTAGCTCTTGACAATATGAGTTATGGTACAACTAAGGGTCTATTGGGGACAGTTTTATGCTTGTTTTACATTTGCACAGTTATCACAGTTGTGTTTAGGGAACTATTTTCTAATTTTTATAATTTTTGTAATGAGAAACAGTATTTTCAAATCAAATCTCTTAAAATATAGTGACTGTAAGAAAGTTCTTATTTTACTTTTTATAAAAAAATTAAATATTGTAATTCACGCTATAACTCTCTAAGAATTTACTCTTCTCATCATAACTTTGCAACTTATCTTTACAAAGAACTGCGGCCATCCTAAATGGACCGTAAGTCTTGTAGCCCAATTGATCTTACAATTGGAAACTGTTACAGTGTTTTAGTGTTTTTCTTGAGAACCGAACAATTGGAATCCTCCTTGTAGCTGGACCAATTTATAAAATTGATTTGCAATCTTTTCATTCAAATTAAACAAAAAATTAAAATTCAGTAAGGTACGTTCGGTATCAAAATGATGGAAAAGTGAAGTTGACATATTTGCATTTTTACACAAGTGGCATTTATGTGAAAGCTGACAATTGCTGTTCCTAAAGCTGCAAAAATTTATCATGTGACATAGTTTAGATGTACGGTGATCCTCTAAAACGTATTCATGACAACACTGCATTTTCTTAAGATCATGTTACCTTATTTTGTATTTGTTTTGGCAACTTTTACGTAGTATGTATCTGTTTTTGTACACCAAAGTATGCCGTTTTATAAGGAGCTCAGTGCTAAAATATTCTAAATATATGTCTGCAGGCATTGGACACTTTTAACACAGCGGTGATTTCTCCTGTGCATTATGTGATGTTTTCAACTTTCACAATTCTAGCTAGCATGATCATGTTTAAGGTGATTATTCTAAAGTACATTTTTGTTATTTGCCTATTTTTCATGCTGCTAAATATTTCATTAAAGTTGACTTTATTTTACTTAAGCCAAAAACTTGCACTTTTAGACAGACTTTTTCAGGACTTCAAAACTTCTTTATTTTCATTTGTATTTTCTTTTTTAGGTAGAACAGCCAAATTTCACAGGTTATTAGCCATGCGAAAGGCAATATTTTGGCTTCTTACGGGTTAATATAAAAGAAGGTGCAAAAGTAAGGGAGGGAAGGAGGATCCCCATCTAAAAATAACAGGATAGTCCTAGGGGTTCCTCTATCCACATTACAACTCCACGTCAAAAAATGAAAGAAAATTGATAAAAGGTAGTGTACCACCCAAAAGTTGTAACTTGTGCTATAAAAAATAGCAAGCCAATTTGCGGGTCTATTCCCCTTACGATGTGTGAGCCTCCAAATAATAGACATATGATAGGTTAATAGTTTAATCCTCTTAATGTAATAGAGAATATCCCTGGAGGCATCAGCTCCATTAGCAAGAATATCAACCAAAATACGAGAGTCACTTTCAAAGATAATAAAATGCTAACTAAGTCTAACTAAGTGATGCTAACTAAGTGAGTGAGATATCATGACAGCTGTCAAGATGGCCCGAGCCTCCGCCTCAAGAGGATTATCAGAGAAACAGATAGTGTGTGTGTGTGTGTATATATATATTCACTGCAGCATCAAAATGAACATACCTTTAAAACACTGGAATAAAGTAAATTCGCCCCTAACAAATTTTCATGATTTAAATAGTCATTATTGTTTAATATTTCTGGTCTTAGCAGTTCTTTGCATTTTTGGCGCTCATCTATTTATAATAAATTGAAAGAATAATAGAGGATACTGATCCAACTTTCATTTATTTTGTTCACCATCGAAATTAGGATTGGGACTCTCAAAATGGAACACAGATTGCGACCGAACTGTGCGGATTCATAACAATCCTTTCAGGAACCTTTCTTCTGCATAAAACAATGCATATGGGCGACGACAGCGCCCCTACAAAATCTGAATGCATTGAACCAAATGCTTCAAACAGCACATAGTACTAAACCCAGAAACAAAAATAAAAATCAAATCAAATCATTTTATCCATGAAGCTCTTTCTGATTTTTAAATCCGATGCATCGACGAGTTTCAGGGGAATCACAGTTCTGCAGGGGTTCTATTGCTTCATGGATACATTGTCTTCAGATTACAAGTGCGGCTGAAGACATAAATGAGAAGCTAGAAAAACACATTGTAATAACATTTCATCTTTTTCTTAATTTTTTTTGGTTATTTGGAGAACTATATATTGTTCTAGTTGTTTGTTTTTTTTTAGTAAATGCATGTTTGTACTGATACTTTGATTCACATTGGAGACTGGATCAAGGTGATTTTGTATATATAAAGCCCTCTTAAATTCTTAGAATTGCCACATGAAATTGTTTTCATCATTCTTGTATGTTTATGTTTGTTGACGTCCGAAGACTTGTTACCTAATTTTTCTTAAGAAATATTATGTGTGTTGCACGTATGACATAAAAAATATACAAGACTGGTCTTAAGGATATATTGACTTAGGAGTGGTTAGAGATCAGTTTTATTTTTTATTTTTATTTATATTTATTTATGTTTTGATTTGAAATAGAATATGTTTGACATATTAGATATGATATTAAAAAAATATTCAAAATATCTAAAATTTGAGTATTTTTAAAAATATGTTTGTTTATTTTCAGAAATAAAATAAAATATATTAAATAAATATGTTTTTAAAAATATAATAAAAAATAAAAAAATTGACACCAACCAAGTCCTTATAATATGAGGATTTGAAAAATAAATAAATAAATGGTAGTGTTTGAAATAGAACAGTGCATTACTTTTCATATGCTCTTGATTAAAAATCATATCAAACATAAATTAAAGACTGCTTTTTAGCATTGCAGGAATAGGGCATCATTCGATTAGGTGGCTTATAAATTTGTCGTGCTATTTGAGCTATTTGTATTGATTAATATTGTATGTATTAACATGTGATATGTTCTTGAAAAATCATCATAATGTGTGAATCTCAAATTATATTGAGCAAAAAATTATTCCAAATGCGAATTCATGGTCACCCAAGCTGATTTCATCAAACTTAAAGTCAAACTGACCGTATCGGCAAGGCGAGCCCAACAACGCTAAATTTGGCCCAACAGGTGTCCAATTAAGCCAAAATCTAGTTATTTAAATACAATTTGAGGCTCTGAATCATCAATTGAACGGTCATTGATTTCAAATTGGACAAACTTAAAGTCAAATTGTGTATCTAGATGAGACAAATCCAACTAGCTGACGATCATTCCATTTTGACGTCATTAAAACATTGAAGCATTCAGAAAATATCATTTAATCAAGGGAATCATTGTTGGTTGTCCGGTGGAGTGATCTAGGTTCATGCGAAATTCATAGAGGATGTAAGTCACAAAATCTATAACTAAACACTCACTTTCTTTATCTACTGAGACTTGGGACCTTAACCTAAAGATGAAGATTGAAGTGAGATCTATCTCCTGAGGATTCCCAAGCTCAATTATCATCAAATTGTTGTCGTTGAGCTTTATCACCACCAGCCCCACCACAGATGTTGGATCACTTCGTCTCAACTATCACCGCTGTCAAACTACACCATCGTTGAACCACTAGAGCAAAACCTCCACAGTCGAGCTTCACCACCATCAGACCACCAGTGCCCCGTTGCTGCTGGACCACCACTTGATTGCCACAACCACCGTTGAGTCATCGGCTCGCCGCAAATGAAAACATTAGCATCAGATTTCCTGTCATACAACCTCTACCTTTGGCCTTTTTTCATAACAACTGGGAGGCTGCCACTTCCTCTGTCTTTCTACCACTTCCTTAGCAAACAACATGCCCCATTTATGTAATATTGTTTCCGGGTATTCAAGGAACAACAAAGTCTTGCAACTTACAACAATATAATGAAATTATTTCTACTTTGTCGTGCCCCGCGATTTTCTTACATCTGGGTTTTCCATATAAAAATGTGCGAGTGCTCATGTAATTCTAAGACATTAAAGTGTCATTATACCTTCTTGAATTTATTAGCACACAACCATAAAAAATAATATATATACAACAATAATATATATATATATATATATATA